AGGAAGAAGTAAAGGATTTGCCTTTGGCACGGAGAGGTCTCTCTGCGGATCCTATACCCTCATCCTTTCCCTGCTTTTTTAGCCCTAGTAGGAATGACAATGCCATTGACCTACTGACCTGGTAACCGGGGCCAGAGAATTTCACATCTACTTGTTTGGGTCATGAAACAGGATCAGGAATAGAGTTAGGGTCAAGAACAGGATAATCGTGCCTTTCCAACATAATTAGATCCCTTGCACCCTGTGATCAAAATGATTGAGTCAGAAGGTTTTGCTTAGTGCCAGAGCCATCTGACTTGCTCTCAAAGAGGTCACCCAGGGTAGTTTTACTTTGATGAATTTACCAGAGAACTGAACCTGTTTCACAGCCAAGTCAGTGCTTCTGAGATCCAGCTGCCTGGAGAAGCCTGACTCCCAGCTATCCAACTCCTAGAAGGCTGAAGTATAAACCCAGATACTCGCATATTCATTATCGGGAGGTGTTAGTCCTTCAGTTAACTAGAACACTCCTCCCTACCCAACAGGGGCACCCTTTTCCCAATATCAGCAATCAGAGAGCCAAATCAGCCATCAGCTGGCTGGTTGGTGAGTTTATCCCAACAGGAGTTATCTGCAGGCAGATTTCATTTAAGTCAGGGTGGGGCTTAGTGAGTCATCTCCATCTCACAGCAGGGCACATCTGTATGAGTTCCAGTTTCCTGTTGCTCTTTCCTGGACAGTGGTGGGGAATAAGTGTCAACCGCTGGCTTCTTGGCTTTACCCTACTTATTTTTCCTTTCTATTCTCCAGCCTCCTCCCTCATTCCTGTTTCCTGCATACAATTGATAAGGTTGCCGATCATTCAATTGTTATTCCATTCCATCAGGGGAGGTGATCTGATGGGGTAGGTGGGTTGGTCCAAGCTCTTTATGCATAAACTTTCTGTATTCTCGGATATATTAGGTTGAATCATGTGAAATTGCTATTTGGGCAGGTCAAAAACAGTCAAAGAGCAGCAATTTTATGTGGTTCAACTAACAGCAGACCAGATTTATTAGGGGTGAGTGCAACCCCTTGTTTGCAAGCTGTGGGGGCAGGCATATGTGTGTGTATGAAGGGTCATATGTGGCAGCCTTTTACGTATCTCTGGAAACAGGCTTCTCTGGCTAGCCACTGGTGTCTGGGACCCTGTTCTTGCCATCTATTCAGCCTCTGATTAGGGCCTTAATGTCAAGAATGAGCTAAGTGGGACTAGAGGTTGAGGAAGAAAGTCAAATTCTTTGTTCTACATGAGAGTGTGTCCTAAAGCCAACAGAGAAGAATTTTAAGGAACCACTTTTACATAGTCCACATCTTGCTTATCCCCCTGTTAATGTGAAAAACTTGGGGACTGGGGCACTGGGATGGCTCAGTCAGTTAAGCATCAGGTTCCCTGTTCAGCAAGGAGTTTGCTTTCCTCCCCCCCCCGCCCCCCCATCTCTGTCTCTCAAATAAATAAGTAAAATCTTTTTTTTTTTTTTTTAAGGGAAAACTTGGGCACTAGTGGAGACATTTTACATTCTACAAACATCAAACACCTGTGCGATGCTGGCTGCTGCCCCACACCATTCCTACCCGCCAGTTTTCACTAGCTGTAGTTGTAGGTACATATACTCGTCGGTTTCTGGTAGCAGTAGCAGCTTACAGTGCAGTAAGCTCTGGGAGGGGAGGGCCCATCTCTGACTTACTTATTCTTGACTCCTATTGTAAGGCCTGGCACATGGTAGGTGCTCATTTTTTAAAATGTTTTACATAAATGAATGAGTGAGTGAATGAAGGAGGTTAAACAACAGGCAAATCATGGAAATACCAGGAAGGCATCAAATACCATAAGAAACCAAAGGTCTCTGGACCTTTAAAGGTCAAGAACCAGGCTGCCTACAGAAGTCAGCAGAGGGTCCCCAGAGGAATTTACTTGAAGGCATCTGCTCTCCAACTGGAAAAGGTTGGTGGAACAGCTCAGGCAGTAGCACAGTCTGCTTCTCAGATGTGAGAGAGGAAGCCACAAATGCAAAGAAGCCACAAATGAAAAGTTGCTCCCTATTTCCTGGCAAGCTCTTTGGCCGGCATGAGCTGCATTCCTTTGAGCTGAGCATGTCTGGAATTTCCAGCCTAGGTAGCAGAATGGAACTTGGAACAAATGGCTCAGCAAAAAAGAACCCAGGAACAATGGGCAGGGTCCGGCTGCCCTTTGCCAGTTCTTGGGCTTTCAGAAAGTTGGCTCAGTGGGCCCTGTTGAGGGAGATAAATGATGTCTTTTGGACTGTACCACTTCAGAGGACTCAGAGGGACATTTCCATGTTCAGACAGCCTAAGATTCTTAGAAGATGTGCTGAAATACCTGGGAATGGTCCGAGTCCTCACCACTGTTCAACTTTCCATCTAGCAAGGACAAGTTAAGGTCTGTTTTGCTTTAAAGATGGGGAAGGTCTAAATGTTGGGAGGCAGAGGGCAAGAAATACTCATCAAGACAGAGTGGGAGGATGCTTCGAGGTGAGGGCAGGTGATGATGAGGGGGTGACGGCAGGATTCAGGGTCCTGTATAGCCGATCTAGAGGCTGGTGGCAGGGGAGATTGAAGAGCAACTGGTGGGGATATATGCCGTCAGTTTCAGGGCAGAGGATTCAAAGAGGAAGGGATCAGCTTCTGGAAGGAAAGAATAACTACAGACAATAACACAACCACAAAGATATCGGTGTCTCTACTGGCCTGACCAGTACATATGACCAAGTTCTAAGAGCATGTCATGAATCACACTGAAAAATGTATTGGGGAATTTTGCGATGTCAACCCTCAATTGCTGATCCTTCTCTACATTTTCCCAAGTCATTAATTCCTTCAAGACACTGATATATTGATGGGGACCTAAGAAGGCGGGGGTACTGAATTTCAGTGATTCATATCTGGACCGTCTTGATTTTAAGGGCAGGGATGACAAATTACTCAAACTAGAATAAGGCACGTAACCTTAAATGTAGCTAAATAGGTGCTTCATAGATGAGGAAAGAAAGAACGAAAGTTAGGAATGGAGGAAGGAATGGAGGGCAGAAGGGAAATGAAGAAATTTGATCAGAGATGTTAAGGAAAGTGGGGTGGGGGCAGGACTTAACTTGGCCTGCATCACAGGAAGATAAGTGGTGTCACAGAAGGAAGTTGCCTAGGGTCCATCCTGCGTGGTTAGGGGCAGCTTATGTCTGGGGAATTATACCTAAGCTTATTGTTGCTCAAGGCTAGATCCTTGTTTTACTTTGTTGACATATTCCGGACTTAGTTCTTTAATAGTAGTGGAGGTGGGGGAGGGAGAGAAGACCATCTTAAATGGGGAAACCATAAAGGAAAAGACAAAGGAGTAGATCCTTTTAGTGGCTGTCCTGTGTCTACCCCATGAAGCTACTAACATCATCTCACTCATTTCCTCAGTGGCTGCTGTCTCCCCTGTCCTTAGGAGGAGGAAGTGGAAAGTCTAATACTTCACGTTAGGCCACCTACTTCAAAGGAAAGGATTCCTCTTATTCCCAAGGCCCCAAAAAGTATTTTATTGCTAATTTAACCAGGATTAACATGGGTATTTTATTCCCATCCTTATGGCACACCATTCTCCTTAGCAGATAGAAAAGCTAAGGATAAACGGCAGCCACCATCTAGACTCCAGTCAGGGCAGCCCGGGGCGGGGGGCTCAGCGGTTTAGCGCCGCCTGCAGCCTGGGGTGTGACCCTGGAGACCCGGGATCGAGTCTCCCACGTTGGGCTCCCTGCACGGAGCCTGCTTCTCCCTCTGCCTGTGTCTCTGCCTCTCTGTCTCTCATGAATAAATAAAATCTCAAAAAAAATAAAAAAAAAAAAACAAAAGGCATGCATCTCCCATCCAACGCATGTTAAGCACTGTGCTGGGCAGCTAACAGGTCTTCTTTCCCCTAATACCCCTATTTTACGGATCAGATGTTTGAGGATCAGATTTCTTGAGCTTGACCTTGGTAGACCTATCTAGCAGAGGGTGGAATTCAGACAAAAATCAATCCCCTCCTACCTACCTACTGGCTTACTAAAGATCTTTTCATAAGCAAGACCCAAACTCCAAGCCCACTGCTCCTCTTTTCCTAGTAACCATCCCATAAAATGAAAATTAAAAGTTGCTAGACCAGAGGGGGTGGAAGTACAGGGCGGAGCGGAGGAGGAGGAGGAGGAGGAGGAGAGGAGGAGGAGGAGGTACCATCTTTAGCAGCGCTGGCTCAACGCACAGCCTTTCCGTTTTTTGCTAAAGTTCAAGCCGCAAGGCCACAGTTGGTTCGGAGCGAGCACACGCGCGTGCACCCCACGCATGCGCCCCGACGGGACCCGGGACCACCCCACCCCCCCCGACCCACCCCACCCCCACCCGCCCCTCTCGCCGGACCTCTTTAGCCAAGTCACCAATTAGCCCTCTAAACGCCCGCCCTCAAGGATAAACCCTCAGCCAATCGGGAGGCAGAAGCCACCCGGCGCTTCGCTTAGTTAGCATACACCCTCCTCTCCCCGGCCCGAGGCCCCGCCCCCCGAGGCCGGGATTGTCGCCTAAGCGCTTCGTTCTGACGCCTGATTGGCTCCCGGGCGAGCCCCGCCCCCGCCCCCGCCCCCGCCCGCCGCCCGCCCCTCCGCGCTCCCACAGCGGCGGGCGGAGCTAAGCGCGCAGGCGCGGGCGCTGCCTCTCGCTGCTGGTGGCCCGCCCTCCCTCCTCCCCCTCCCTCCCCTCCCCACCCCCTCTCCCTTCCTCCCCGGGCCTGCGCGCGCGTGTCTTCCTCCTGCACGCGCCGCCGCTAGCCGAGCAGTCTCGCCGGAGCGTCCGGCCCGCGCCTCCCTCTTCCCCTCCGGCCGCGGGGCGGGCGGGATCCTGCAGGGCGGCCTCGAGCGGCGGCGGCGGCGGCGCGGCTCGGGAGCGCCCGGGCGGACCGTACCACCGCCCGCCGGCACGCGGGGGGGGCCGCCCGCCCCGCCGCGCTCGCCTCGGCGACCCCGCGGGGCTGAGGCGTCGCCGCGCCCGGGAGCGTGAGCGCAGAGCCGGCCGCGACCCCGAGCTCGGAGCCCCGCGAGCCGCGCCCGCCGCCGGCCCCACCCATCCGGGCCGCGGAGGAGGCGGCGGCTGCGGCCATGGCCGAGACGGAGGAGCGGAGCCTGGACAACTTCTTCGCCAAGAGGGACAAGAAGAAGAAGAAGGAGCGGAGCAGCCGGGCGGCGAGCGCGGCGGGCGCGGCGGGCGGCGCCGGCGGGAGCAGCGGAGCGGCGGGCGCGGCGGGCGGCGGGGCGGGCGCGGGGGCCCGGCCGGGCGACGGCGGCACCGCGGGGGCGGGGGCCGCGGGCCCCGGGGCCGCCGCCAAGGCCGCGACCAAGGTGAGGGGCCGAGGAGGCCGGGATTCGGGCCCGGGCCGCGCGCCGGCGCCCATGTGCCCGCCCCCCGGCCGCCCGCCCGCCCGGGGACGCGTCCGGGAGGGGCCGGCGGGCGGGCCGGCGGGCGGGCGGGCGGGCGCGGAGGCGGCCATGTGACGGGGGCTTCCCACGCGGGCCGGCCGGCGCGCCCCTCCCCGCGGGGCCCGGGCACGGTCGGGGGAAGCGGGCCTCGACCCCACGTACCCGAGTGGCGTCCGCCCCGAGTAACTCGCTCTCGCGCCCCGAGCGCAGCCGTCTGGGCAGAATTTTCTCCCCGTGGCGTTCGCGGCGGCTCTGCTGGCGCGGCGCGGCCTCTGCCCGCGGGACGGAACAAGCCCCCGGACAGCGTTGGGGCAGGCGCCCGGTGGTGGGCTTGACCGTACCGACTTTTTGCATTCGACTTTCCCCGGTTGCTTTTTAAAAAAAAAAAAAAAAAAAGGAACAGCTTTCCGGAAGGGACCCGCTGGAAGTGAGAGGGTTTGACTGCCGCGCGCGTTTGTCCTCGGGCTCCTCGGCCTGGGGAGCGAGCAGACGAGGGCTTTAGGCCGGAAAACGAGTTTTAATTCATTTTAGGTCCTTGATCCCCGTTGCCTAGCCTTGCGATGCGTGGCCTTGGTTGTATCTTAACAAAGCTTTAATCGACCAACGGGGGTGTGTGTTTTACAGGATGAAGATGAGTGGAAAGAATTTGAGCAAAAAGAGGTTGATTACAGCGGCCTCCGAGTTCAGGCGATGCAAATAAGGTACGGTCTGGTCTGGTTGCAAATGTGTTTAGGTGAGGATAGGGATTCTATGGCTTTTCTGCAGCCCTAAAGCGGCATCACAGTGGCCTCATGCTTTAGATCTGCTTATCAGGGCTTGCCCCTCAGGTGGCAGCAGCCCTTCTATGTACGCTGACCAGATTTTAGTTGCCAGCTCCAAAATCCAGGCGAGATCTTGCCTGCTTGTTTGAGACAGCTAAAATGAAATGGCTTTAAGTTAATACATATTTTTGTAATTGAAGCGTATTGAGACAGATGCACAGATTTTTATGTTCGCACAGGGAGACCCGGTCTGTGTAATTTTCACAGTGAGGTCAAGAAACTGAAAATTACGGCCACGGAACACACCTAAGCCCTTTTCATCGCTGCCTTCATGCCCAAGAATAACCAGTATGTTAACACTGGAGATTAATTTTCCCTAAAGTTTTTCTAGGGGTGGCATCAGGTAGTCTAAGCGTGTTATTTTTAAAGTTTGAGAAAAATTAGAAATTGGGTTGATTGGCCTAGGGGATTTTAAGTTACTGAGTCCAACCTGTGGTGGTTGGTTTTAGATCGGTGAAGATAATGTCCTATTTTCCTGGGCTCATAAAGTAGAAAAAATGGGAATGGAATATATGGTTCTACCGTTTCAAGGTTGAACTCTTTTTATACCCAATTTAAAGAGATAAATGATCTAGCGAACTGCCTCCGGTTCAAAGTTTGCAACTTGGATACACCAGTGACCACGTGGCACACTGGAGGAAGTAATTTTCCTTAACAGAATTCTGTCTTTTGACTTCTTCAAGAGGTAATGTTTATGGCCTTTAAGTGGGTTATTCAAATTAAAAAACCAGGGCTAATAGTTTTGACGTTTGTCTGCCACAGCTCCACAGCCCTAGGTTCTTTCACATTGAGCTTATCCAAAGTGAAACCTGATTGATGAGGGGAGACTTTTTAGGAAATGGGCCTTCTCCAGTCCTGAGGTTCTTTTGTAGCCGTGTTAGGTAGAAATGATTAGATTGCACTTTTATTCCCAACAACTTGAGTTCGTACATAACCGGTTTTTGAAGAGGTATAGTTTAGAAAATATCCCTGTGTTCTCCTAGAGCTTGACCTGTGAAAACTGAGAGGTGGGGACATGAGGTTCTTAACTCTGTGGGGGGGGGTGGCACTGCCTTTTGTGGTTCCTGTTTGGCTGTACAGAATGAGGCTCTTGGTCTGCCTTTTCTGACCACAGGTTCTTAACTTCAGGTTCTGAAGATCTGAGTGACAGGGAGAGTAGTGTTTGGTCGTGTTGAACTTACTGAGCAAGAGTAGCACTTTCTGAGGGGGAAGGTTTCAAGTTCACCAAATGCTAGAAATTGATTTTATTATGTTATGGAGGATATTTAAACTGCCTGTTTTCCTGTCATTGATTATATATCCCATATCCATATTCAAGGTTATTTTTGTCTTCCTTTGTGGGTGCTCCAGAGATGATGAAACCTTTAAATCCTACCTTTCGGGATCCCTGGGTGGCGCAGCGGTTTGGCGCCTGCCTTTGGCTCAGGGCACGGTCCTGGAGACCCGGGATCGAATCCCATATCGGGCTCCCGGTGCATGGAGCCTGCTTCTCCCTCTGCCTGTGTCTCTGCCTCTCTCTCTCTCTGTGACTATCATAAATAAATTAATTAAAAAAAATCCTACCTTTCATCTTTGCCAGGGGCATAGGTAAAATCTCAGCTAGTGGGAATGTTTATTAAGTTCTACTTGACCTGAAGCTTGACCAGATTGTATGTTGTGTGTTTTCCTTATTCTTAGCATGTAGTCATTACTCCTAAGTGGTCCACCACAGGTCCTCCTCTAACCTGCTAACATTGAAAAACATACCTTCAGGAAGCTACTTTTGCGGATCCGCAATCACTGTGGAGTCTGGAATCTGTCTTGCTGCCCTCACAGATCATTCAATAAAGAGGAATCTTAACAGCCTTCAGGAAAGATTTGAGTATGAGAAGTCATCTGAGATTTAATAATAAGGACTAAAATTTTCACTTTCTATAATGAATATCCTTGTAAACTTTGTATTAAGTTCAAGAAACTTTGTTTCTTGATGGTGAAACTCCGTAGAATTGGAGTCCTCGAGGAAAGAACTCTCCTTCATAGAAGTGGGAGTAGGCTACTCACATAAATGGGTGGAGTTGATAATGTTCACAAAAACATGGACTTCGGAGAAAGACAAATTTGGGTTTTAGCCTGCTGCTTATTTGTGACCTTCAGCAAGTCATTACTTTTGAATGTTGATTCTGATCTACAGTATTGAGACAACTGCTAGCATTCTTGTGAGGATTTTGAACAGTATTTGTGAAATACCCAGTAGGTAAGATTAATCTTATCTTCCCTGTTCAGTAGGTAAATTAGAATAACTTAGTCTTTGGAATTTCTCTATTACTTACCATGAGGCACCGGATTTATAATACCAAGATCGAGGACAAGTGGAGTTGCGCTACCTACTACTATCATGACTAATGTTAGACTCTGGTGAGTCAATTCACTGTGGACCCGATACCAGAAAATGACATGTTCCAGGTGGCATTAGTATAACCAAAACAAAAATCCTTCTCAGGGTGTTAAACATCACTGTAGACTTTGAATTATTGTCTTCCACAGTTTATAACCTTTTAGGCAGAATCCCTAAGGAGGGGACAGAGAAGTGAGGTATCTTCTAGAAGCTATGGTGGCTGATTCTTTATGCCTTTCATCTGTTACCTTTTTCTTCATGAGAGAGGCAGACTTGCTATATCAGTGTGAGACAAGGAAATAAGAAACTTTGGAGGTTGACCTAAAATAACTGGAAATATTCAGCCTTAAACTCTTAAAATTTTTCATCCAGCTTTCTGCTTTGAAAAATTAGAAACTTCAAAAGTTGCATGAGTTATGAAATAAGTACCCATATAATCTCTGCTTAGATCTCTTGGTCATTTTTTGTCACACTTGCTTTAATCTAATCAGCTATAGATGCTGCATATAGCCTTAAAGTTCTTGACTCTAGACCTTACGGTAGGTTAGCATACTGACCCCTTATTGAAGATCAGTGTGCATTTGAAAGAGGACATTTTTCAGTAGGAAACATAAGTTATTAATGTTCTATCTCACATTTACCAACTAGCTCAAGATTCAAGGTGCCAAGAGTAGGACTATAAGGTCTTGTGTCAAATTTTGTGTCTAAATTGATAAGACGTATTCAAGGTCATCGTTACATATAGGCAAATTCTTTAGAGGGGTGCCATTGGGAAGGTGATAAAAGGTGCCTTAACACTGGAGCTTAAATTGTTGAACAATCTAAATAGAACCTATAGGCCTCTCTTTAACATGGGTTTTCTGTGGGGGGCGCAGGGGAGAAATTGCATTTAATATTTGATGTTACTAAATGTCGAACATTTGTCATGTTTCAGTATTGAACTGAGTTCTTGGAGGGGTGCCTGGCTGGCTCAGTATGTGAAGCATGCGATTCAGTCTCAGTTGAGTTCAAGCCCCATGTTGGGCTTATCTTTAAAAAAAAAAAAAAAAGAATTCTTGGAACCCAGTGGTTTTTTTGTTTGTTTTGGGGAACACTCTTAAGGAATTTAGACCTTTGAACCCATTAGGTGGAGCTGGTTAAGTTGTTCCTGCATGCAACCTGGATTCATTGTAGGAAATATTAGTGTGGCTGCAGTGTGCCAGACCTCAGGGTTGTGGAAATAACTCCTGCTTTACTATAAACCCAGTAGATTATTTCAGTGACAGGCAGGATGCTTTGGAACACAGGAGACACACGCTTAGTCTCCCATGTGAAAGGGTTGAGAAAGTCCTTGTCAGAGCGCATTGCCATTTTGAGCCCCAGCATGGTTCATCAGGCCACGTCTATCTCCATTTTACTGTTGTAACAGTGATTGGATATTAGGGTCAACCAGTGGAGATGCCTAGCATTCTAGCAGAGGCTCAGTTAAGTCTGGATTTTGTTTCAGCTGTTAAAATCCTAGTGTTGGGGAAGGAGGGTTAGAATGTATAAACCCTCATGTAATGTCCTGTGAGATAAAGAGGTAAGGATGTTCCATCTTTATTAATAAACTGCTGCAGGATGTGTAATCCTGATCAACCTTGTTGGAAGTGAATTTCTCAAAATAGAGAAAATTTCTGTGTCATATGTTAGAGGGGATAAAAGAGGATAAAATGAAATAAGAGGCAACATGAGAGTATGAGCTCTGGAAACCCAGGGATTGGCTGTGGTACTTTGTAGCCCTGGGGAAGGGACTTAAATGTCTGAGTGTCAGTTTCCTCCTGTGTACAATGGGTTCTCCTGCCTCCCTTGGTGAGGTTTAACTTTGTAAAGTGGTAGGACAGGGCCTGGCCTCCTAGATACTCAGTAAATATTCCCTTTTCTAGCGTCCTTCTCCTATACCCCCAGCAGTGCCTTATAGACTTTGGCATATTTAAGACCATATTCTTTAAAATATAGTGTTTAGAAGTGACAAGAAGCTATATGTTCTATTAGGGTCAAATACCAAATTTCAGCCTAATTGTCTTCTGTGGAAATGATTCTTTGCAACATTTGTCTTAATGGCATTTAGAGATATGACATTTTCTGGAGTGTGTAAGAAAGAAAAAGTGAGCAGATGTTTAAAATCATTTCTACCTTGCCCTTAGTCTAGTCCTATGGCATTTTTTGCAAGGCTTTTTAGCATCTTGGGGCCTTTGTTCCCTCTACTGGATGAAGGATCTTGACAAGACAATTTCCATGGTTAGTACTTTCAAGTCTTAAGTTGTCTTGAGCCTTTTATTACAGATACACAATCCCTTTAATTCAATGATTCTTAGTTTATAATTGGAAGGGGTTTTTATTTATTTATTTTTTAAAAGATTTATTTATTTATTCATGAGAGACACACACACAGAGAGAGAGAGGCAGAGAGACACAGGCAGAGGGAGAAGCAGGCTCCATGCAGGGAGCCCGACACGGGACTCGATCCCCGGTCTCCAGGATCATACCCCGAGCTGAAGGCGGCGCTAAACTGCTGAACCACCAGGGCTGCCCTGAAAGGGGTTTTTAGATTTGTGATTTATTCGTTCTTCACTTGTTTCTGAGGGTGAAGGGGCAGTAAACACTAGACAATAAATGAACTTTCCTTTTTACATTGGACTGTCAGTATTCTATCAGACCAAATAGGGATTTTTCTTTAATATTTTATGGTGAGTTAGAGAAACTATATATTTAAGGACATTTGAAAGGTATAACACCATTAAATGGCAAGAATGGTCTGTAATTCCTTCTGCTTAGTGATACTCTGCTCTTAAAATTTTGGTTTTCAGTTGATTGCTTACTACAAGCTGATAGGTCTGGAGTTTAGATGTGTATTAATCACCAAATATTAAAGTAATTTGAAGGAAGATTATTTTAGAGTCCAGTGTGTATATTTGAACAATAGTGATTCAGCACATTTTGCTGAGTTAACTGTTTCACAATGTAAATGACCAGCTGAAAGCCAGCATATCTTGGGTAGGGAGGTATATATGAGTGTAAAAGTGCCATAAAGGTTCTTAAAATCTTTGTAGGGGTCTTACCTCCCTGTGTGGCTGGGATTGGGTTACTGGGACATTATTAACTAGTCTTATGTAACTAGATAAATAAGACTCATGTTTTTACTCATGAACCAAGCAAATTGCATGAAAGTATAATTACATTGGCATGGTTCTCAGAAGTGGGTGACTAAAAAAGTCTTTGGGGACAGTTCTAATGTTTGGATACCACTGTTAGACTCCGGGATAAATTAGGATCTTTATATCCTTACCTGGTCATTCGTGCCACATATAAACTTTAGAAAACAGGGTCATAGTGTTTGTATCTATTTTTAAAAATCCATTTAAAAAGAACATGTTCATGTTGTGGGGTTTGGGAATTTTGAGTTTTGTCCGGTTTTATTTTTTCCTAGTATAAAGGTGGCATGTGTTTGAAAACTCAGGTGGGTAATAAAAAGTCTAATAGTGGGGCACCCGGTGGTACAGTCAGTTAAGCGTCTGACTCTTGATTTCAGCTCAGGTCGTAAGATGGAGCCCCGTGTCAGAAGCCACACTCCGCATGGAGTCTGCTTAATTAAGATTCTCTCTCCCGCTGCACACCCCCTTTACCAAAAAAAGCATGTAAAAACATTTACCAGCACTTACTATGTGCCAGACACTGTTCTTTGTGCTTGTGTCTATTAACTCATTTAATTCTCATAATGGGGCTGTTATTCCCATTTTTACATAGGAGGGAACTGAGGCATACAAGATTTGAGGGCGGTACTCAGTCTCTGGCTAGTCAGTGGTGGAGCCCAGATGATATGAACCAGAAGTCTGGCTTTAGAATTTGCTCATAACTGCTTGCTGCATGTAAAAGATAAAATCAGTGCATTGTAGCACCCAGCTACTTTTTCAAACCCTTTTTTTAAAAATCAAAATGTTCTTCTACTTAACATTAGGTGAATAGATTTCTTTTAGTAAGCCACTGACGTAATGGACGTGAGTATTAGTTCCATGTCAGCATAGGCCTGACAGATGGCTCATGGGATTCTGTTCTGTGTTAAAGGAAAACCGAAGGGTGGCTTGGCCACATTCTCATTCTTCCTTTTGAACTCTATAGTCTAAAGTCATGCTACAAATGCAGATTAAAGATGACTAGTTCATTCCCCTTTCCCTCCCTGATTGCTGCCAGGGGCCTCGGATTTCTGAAATCACCTGTTTTTATAAGTGTCTGTAAAGGAGACCGTTAGTTATTCAAGACATTTATCTTACAGCCAGCATTTTCCTTGTTCTCATAGGAATGGAAGGAAGCACCCTTAGATGTCCTTTGCAGAAGTCAAGAGAGGCCATGGTGTCCCCAGGGTCATATAGGGCAGGGCGGGAGTCATCCATACGTTGTTAAGGCCTTGATCACTGACCAGGCACCAAAGGGAGAAAAGTCTAAAAGTGAAAGGCCGAGAACCACTTTAAGCAACAGCCCAGTTTTTTCTGCAGGAGAGAAATAGTAGCAGAAAGGGGGTTAGATTTAACAGGTAACTCCCTGATTCCTGACACCAGCTAAGTCAAGAGTAAAGAAATAAGAAATTGACATAAACACCACAGCCAGCCTAAGGGTAAGGTATCCACTAAAGAGGGTATCTTGCACATTTACACTTACTGCTAAAGCCAAATACTGAGGCTTTTTTTATCCTCTTTTCCAAATAGGTGGCATATCTGGTGATAAGGACCAGTTCTCCATATTCCTTTGTCAAACAGTAGGGACTGGCACTAATGGTCTGTAGCACTGATGTGAACACTGAATATATGCTTGTTCTGTTGGAGTGGGAATTCTAATTTCGAGAGTATTTTGTAATATGTGCTAAAGGATTAGCAAATGAAATTATACAACCTCTAAAAACCATTTGATCACTGAAAATATGCTTACCATGAGTGCCTGTTTGTCCACTGTGGTCCTGGAAAAATCCAGCAATTACCCTCTTAATCCCTCAAGTCCCCCCCCCCCTTTTTTTTTTCCAGATAAGCCTGGCCTCTCTTCCTCCCTTAGTTGTGTGATTTAGGCTCCCTTACTTAGCCTGGGTCCTGCTTTTACTAGGGACTGCTATACATAATCATAAGGATTGTCATTAGTCTGGCATGTCAAATATCTAAATGTTGAGTATGAGTATATGAGGTTTGCAAAAAGGAGAGCAGAGACTGTCAGACCAAGTGGTTTTCTAAACCTTTTTTAGTAATGAAATTCCTTCCATATGAAGTCAGGTGGAAGTCCCAGTGTATGACAGATAAAATCCCCTCCTGTGTCTGTTTCTTCTAAACAAGGGGGGCGTTTGGGGCTCTGAAGAGGTTAGGTGACTTCTCTTAGGGTCACACAGATCAGCATTGGTACAACTAAGATTTTGGACTCTTCCTGGTAGTTCTATAATTAAATTCACTTGTTTCCTTTTCCAATAGTGAAAAGGAAGAAGATGATAATGAGAAAAGAGAAGATCCCGGTGATAACTGGGAAGAAGGTGGAGGTGGCGGTGGTGGTGTAGAAAAGTCTTCAGGTCCCTGGAATAAAACAGCTCCAGTACAAGCACCTCCTGCTGCAGTAATTGGTAATCTTAATATTTTGTTTTCATAAAGATGTCCATGTATAGTTTCATGCACTTAGGCATTCAACTATATGCTTACTTGGGGTAGAATGAGTGGGGTTCCTTTCTGTTCTTGGGAGAGGTTTGTATATGTCTGTTTAAAGACTTCTACATCTAAGTAAAGGAATTTGGAAGTTAAGATACATGCTTTTTTGTAGGCTGCTTAGATTTATATGTAAACTAACTTGCCAAACTTAAATACTTAATTTTTGATGATTGGCTAAGGGCTATTGAGTACTGGTGTTTCCATTTACGTGTTTTTTCTCCCATTCCCCATTTTACTCTGTCTTAAAGCATGAATTCTCAGAAGGGTACATTTTATCACTCCTAAATGTTGATAAGAAGTGGTTTTTGGTGGGGGTGTGTGTGAAGAAATAGATCTTTTAGTGGTTTGTTGCCCACCAGAGAAAGTGTATGCACAGCATATCTGTGGTATTAACATTTCTTGGTGTGGGGGCATGGTGTTTACAAAATTGATGTCTAGAAGGGCAGTGTTGAGAAAAGTTTAAGGAGCATTGCTTTATAATGTATATTTTTTTTATGCGGAATAATATAAAGAATATCAAATCACTCCAAATCCTGCCCAGAGATGACAGATAACTAGTGTGTGTCAGCATTCTTGCATCATTTCCAGCCCTTGGCTATGTGTATATTTTTTTCCCATTTAACTTTTTTTTCTTTTAACTGCATCTGTCACTGATCCTGATGCCCTCAGAATTGCTAAACTCAGTGTCCCAAGTCTCACTCCTCAACACGAGTTGCCCCATCAGCAGCATTTGCCATAGCTGATCACACCAACACACTGTTGGCTTCCAGGACACCACAGTCTCCTGCTCCTTTGGTAGGCAGTCCTCAGTCTCCCTGGCTGGAATTTCTTCTCTCCTACCTCTTAGAACCTACCCCAGTGCTCAGCCCCTGCTGCTGTCTTCATGCCCTCACTCCCTTGGCAGTCTCTAATGCCAGCAACTCCCAAAATTCACATCAGCTCAGATCTCTCATGGTCACCAGACACATAACCTATATATATCTTAACTGCCTACCTGGCATCTTGATATCCCACATACCCCAAACTGAACTCTTCATGTACAGTAGACTCTTGAACAACATGAGGGTGGGGGCCCTGAACCCCTCTGTCCCAAAATTTAACTACTGAGAGCCTACTGTGACTAGAAGCCTTACCATAACATTCAATTTATACATATTTTATATATTTATGATACTCTATTCTTAGAATAAAGTAAGCTAGAGAAAGAATAATAAAATCATAAAGAAAAAAATATGCTTACAATACTATATCAAAAAATCCAGGGGATCCCTGGGTGGCTCAGCAGTTCAGTGCCTGCCTTTGACCCGGGCCATCATCCTGGAGTCCTGGGATCGAGTCCTGCGTCGGGCTGCCTGCAGGGAGCCTGTTTCTCCCTCTGCCTGTGTCTCTGCCTCTCTCTCTCTCGGTCTCTCATGAATAAATAAAAATCTTAAAAAAAAAATCCGTATGTAGGCGGAGCCCTGTAGTTCAAACCCATGGCAGGGGTCAGTTATATCCATCACACACAGCCTTCCTAATCTCATTGCTATTCTTTCAGTCACTTAGGCCACAAATCTTGGGAGTCATCTCTGAGACCTTTTTCTTGCTCCAAATCTAAATTAATTTTTTACGTGGATTACTGAGGTAACTCTTAACTGGTCTGCCTGCTTCTATACATTTGCTGTTCACAAATATCCAGTGGTGGCCCCTCTACTCGGGCAGGAGCAGAAGTTCTCAGTGACTTGGAAGTCCTTGGATAACTGCCTTGTAATCTCTTTCTCACTTGATGTCTCTTTTAATCTGCTCCTCGCTTACTCTTCTCCTTGAAGGTGCCAGGCACATGGTTGTTGCAGCCAACCCTTTGTGCATATATTCTCAGCCCGAGTTCCTTTATATTAAGAGTCTCTAAGCTTTTTCTGCAAAGGGCCAGATAATAGGTAATTCAGGTTTTGAGGGCTGTGAGGAGATGGCTTTAATTAGCCAGCCCTGCTGTAAGAGCACAAAAGCAACCATAGACCATACATACATCCAGTGAGTCTAGCTCTGTTCCAGTAAAACATTTATAAAATCAGGAGTCAGACCAGATTTGGCTTGTTTACCAACTCTAGGTATGTTTGCTGCCTTAACTTCTTTCAGGCCTTGTTCGGTTTTCACCCTGTCTGTCCTGTGCTCCCTTTACAGACCCCCTACTTTCATTTTCGGTATGGTCCCAACCTTTACATATATAAATATCTCCTCCCTCGAGGATAACACTGTCCAATAGTACTTATTGCGGTGATGGGATGGCACTGTTCACTGTAGTAGCTGCTAGCCAGAGGTGGCTTTGGGTGCTTAAAATAAGACTAATCTAACTAAGGAATTGAATTCTTAAGTTTACTTCATTTCAAATAGTTATATGCAGCTAGTGGCCTGAATATATCCAGTTCATGAGGCATGTTCTTAACATTTGTACCCCCACTGTGCAGTTTAGAACAGCACCTGACATGTAGCAGGTGCTCAGTCACTAATGAATGCGTGTTATATTATAGCTTTCCCACACTTAATTAAAAGCTGTATGAGACAATAAGCCATTATAGTTGTATTCAAATGACTGCATTATATTGCAGCTAATAAATGTTGATGTAGGCGTTTATTTGAAACGAAGTTTTTGATAAATGGAAAACACAAAAAAAATCTGTATTGAGAATGGGGAGAAAAAAATGATACATAGGGAAAAAGCTGGGCTCTGTCCCGAAAAATGTTAGCCATCCATCCTGGGAGACTCCGGGCTGTCTGGGCTGCTCAGCTGCTTAGTTTTTTTTTCCCTGCGTTACTGTGTATATAAAACACGATGAAGAAGCTTAAGATCCATTGATGTGGAAGACAAGGAAATAGTAAAGATTTATAATAGTTTATTTTTTATTGGTCATTTAGAATTAAATGTATACACAAGCATTTTAGTAAATAAATTCTTCACACGAGGCATGTTATTTAACCCACCACCCAGGTAAAGAAGTGATTACCACATTTACCCCAATATATAAACTGAGGGCTGGGATAGTGCTGTTCTGAAGGATGGTCCCTAATGGGTCTGTCTTCCAGATCCAGGAGATTTCTCTCCTAGTTCCAGTAAGTTGATTTAGAAAAAGAACTCGTTTACATAAGTAATTAAAGTTGCACACGGAAAAGAAGTTAGAGAAGACTGCCCTGGAAAGCTAGAGCATTTTCACTTTGAGACATTTCCTCAGATAACTTGCCTTCTGTTGTCCAGAGATTTCTTATGTAGGTATTGGGTTTTTTTTCCTCTAATTGTCAAGTTACTGGAATGTGAGACTAGCAGACTAAACTGGCAGGCATTTGAATAGTTTCTCTTAACTGTTACAAAATGTTAGTTACAGAAACCCCAGAACCGGCAATGACTAGTGGTGTGTATAGGCCTCCTGGAGCCAGGTTAACCACAACAAGGAAAACACCGCAAGGACCACCAGAAATCTACAGTGATACACAGTTCCCATCCCTGCAGTCCACTGCCAAGCATGTAGAAAGCCGGAAGTAAGTACTCTTGACTCTTTCCTTTTGTCTGGGAGCCCTGTCCCTTGGCCAGTGTGGGCTGTAGGAGATGGGAAAACTCATCTGGGGTGGTAGGGAGTCTCCTTGGTAAAGCCCAGGCTGCATCTGACAGACAGCTGAGACCAGGGTGGGGAAAGGGGTGAGGACCCTTGAAGGAGCAGTGAAGAAAGCACCAAAGAATAGACATTGTCTACAAAAGTTTCTTTATTCCTGGTTTATGTGTTCTGTAGCTATGACAAGTCTCATCTAGTTAGAATTCTTTTAAGTACATTATTGCTGGCTTATGTTCCTCATATCATGGAAACTAGAAATGTAAGAGCAGTATTTCAGTGTATTCCCAGTTGATGTGAATAGATGAAAGATGTTGGCATTTGTAAATCTAATATTAAAATAATCTTATTTCAGCAGGTACTTAAAATGAATGCTACCTGGAATTAAATGACCACATATGGCACTTCCACATCTTTTTTAGGGACATGAATTTTATAAAGTAAATAAAATGGGAAGAAATGTAAAGGACATCAGATGGAAATACTGGTTTTGGGGAGGTGGCTTTTAAAGTAAATCCCAGCCTTCTTGCCTCTTTGAGAGCCCAGCTGGCGTGAGTTTAAGCCTCCACTTGGACTTGTTCCTCTGCTCTGTCCGATAAAATAAGGGGCAGTGATTTCCCACACTCACCTTTCTGATCCACTCCCATAAAGTAGAAGTGAGGGAGAAATCATTGATTAATGAGTAGAACTTTACTTGAATAAGAAAATTGTTGCCCTTATGCATAAGGAGATGTATTGTTTACTATTTGCTTAAAAATAAAAGTAACTCTTAGAAAGAATCACCGTGTCATTAGATAGCCGATAGCCTTTTGATTTTGTAGTTGTCTTCAAGTTGGGCCCAAAATAGGTTTGCAGTAAATAGTATTCAAATAGATTTGCTACCACAGAAGATAGGACCATAAAGCTTCAATATTTGTTGAAGCCCAGGAAATGAATTGATGACGATTGCAGGTTTCCCCTTCTGTTGAAAGTTGAGCATTCCTGTGAAACCATTCCTAAGCCAGAGTGCTGTAAAACAAAGAAGATCCTCCGCTTTCAGAAAGTTTGCATTATGCCACTTCACTTTTATAAGAACTACTTACTTTCACTAACCAAAAGAAATCTGAAGAGGATTTTCACCATTAGGAACAAAAGCTGTCGCCATACTAACAGGTCCTTTGTAAAAGCAAGTAGTGTAAGGCAGACTTTGGGAAAGCGAGACTCCTATACCAGTTTCCCTTCCTCTTCCTCAGGCTACTTCAAAGGGGGTGGCTTTTTCTTTTTTTTTTTTTGAGGAAAAATATTTACGAAACAACCCAGTGAAGAAGAAATATTTACTGATTACATTTCTTTTCCCATAGGGATAAAGAAATGGAGAAGAGCTTTGAAGTAGTAAGACACAAAACTAGAGGTAGGGATGAGGTTTCAAAAAACCAGGCCCTTAAACTTCAGCTAGACAACCAGTATGCTGTGCTTGAAAATCAGAAAAGCAGCCACACACAGTACAATTAAGGAATGGTCTTTGCTAACCCTTCTAAGGTAACTAGACTGCAGCTAACCACCAGGAACAGCCTTTCATCATCTGATCTCTGCTGGATCCACTGCCGATGCAGAACCACTCCATATAAGTGACCGGTCCTCTGGCACTATGGAAGTAGAAGTGTCACAGCTGCTCTTTGTATATATTGGATTTAGGGGGATTCTCATTCTATAAATGCGTGAACTAGATTCAGCAGTGTTCTTTCATTATTACTCTGCAAATACAAAAACAAACTGCAGCCAGTGGTCATTTCAAAATCTTTTTATGTTCAGATACTGAGCCTTCGTAAGGGCTGACTACCTCAGGTTTGCTGCACTCGTTGCGGACTTCATGTGGATCACAACTTCTGGACACGAAGGTTACAGCTAGTAAGTGTCGGTGTGAAGCTTGAAACCAGCTCTACTGGATTCCTATCAGAAATCCTGCAGAAAGTCAGCCATCTGGGTTCTGATCTGCTGTAAAAGATGAAGATTTAAGTGACCTTAATTAACCTGTCCTGTGCCCCACCCTTAAGGAATATTCTGTAGTGGGCTGTGTTAGACTTCCTGGAACATGCCGCTCTCAAAAGAACTCGTGTTCAGATGATCTGTGTACGGTTGTGATTTTATAATTTAAACTTTGAGTTGTATTCTGAGGTAACCACAGATTAAATTCAACTGAACTTGGGTCCACCAAGTGGGAAAGGGGGTGGGGGAGGGAGTAATCTTATTTCTTTTAGTGATTTTTTTTTTATTTGGGTAGTGCTTTTTTCTGTGTCCACATTAAGGCCTTTTTTTTTTTTTCCTTTGACTTGGAATAAATTCTTTGACAGAGCATATTGCTTGGTTAAATAAGTAACCTGAAATATGCATTAGAATTGTGAAATGTCTCGTGAATTTGCCAATCCCTAGAGTGGAACCAAATAGCCTTTGATGTCAAGGGCAGTGGATGTGGGGGGCTCTACTTCAGGTGCTGCTAAGCCTCCTCTAATCAGGTCAAAACTGTACAGGAAACTGCAGTGGAAGGAGTATGGGTTCTGCTCAGGCCAAGGGATTCACTGACCTGTCCTTATCAATTCAGAGCAACATGAGCAGAACCTTAACCTAAAAGCCACTTAGGTTTTCACAGATCTTGTATGATCTTTGACAAGATTTCCAGATAACACTCGTGCCCAAATTTTTCAGGTATTGGACATGCTATAGATGTAGTGATTGTGCCAGTTTAGCTCTGTTACCAACCTTCTGGTATGTCTACGTTCATTTGAAGAGTCAGGGGCGAAAGACAGGTGATGTAGCACTTCTGTTTTTAATAATTACAGCTTAAACTATCCAGTAATTTTTAGTCCCTAAAGGGACTTCAGGAAGCTACCCAGGATTACTGAGAAGTCTTTCCATCTAATAAGATAGTCTGGTAATTGACTAGTTTTGTTATCTTTGGTTCAATAGAGAGATTTCAAAGTGGTGTGTGACCACTTTATGCAGAGTCTGGGTTTCTCTATTATAGATCCCTTTGCCAAATGCAGGAGCTGCAGACTTGCTACTGGCAAGAGTGAAGCAAGTGAGGGTGTAGAGGGTGTAGAGCTATCTTGGTGTGGGGGCATCCCTTGGAGTTCGGTCTGGATGAGAGTGTCAGTGCAGGAATGGGCTCCCAGGAGGTGACCGTGTCTCCAGACAGGACCTGCCCACCACATCTGGGCCATGATGGTGTTTGAGGTGGCGGGCAGGGTGTCTGCCTTCTGGTGTACTGGGGTGAGTAGCTGAGCCAGCCAAGAAGAGGTTGGATGATTAAGCAAGAAACAAGGGATTCTTGGTTAAACTGAAGACTTCATTTGGGAACCAAAAATCTTATCTCTTGGACCTTGAGCCACATATTTCCCCTGAAAAGTATACTTTTTTTTTTTTTCTTCTCCAGCAAAATTTTGTTGGGGGTTGTGTTACTGAGGAATGAACTGAGATGAGTATGTGGAACATTTATTTAATGGCATACTATACTAGAAACCTGAAGACCTGCAGGAGATTTAAAATTCCAACTGTTGTTACAACTTTTTAAAAGATTGTGAAATTACAAAATGCACATGAATCAAGTTTTAATATACTGTATGATGGGTGGGTGAGGCTGTCCATTGTACCATTTCTTTGGATTCTCAGGCATGGTTTGGCAGTGTAAGAACTCTGTAACATTAACAAATTCAATAAAATAAATATATGGATTTTGCGGTCTTAACAGTTTTTATTCTTTAACACCCCACCACCGTAGTTTTTATTCTTAATCTTCATCCTCTTTGAAAATGGCTAACTGGTGCCATGCCTCCACCACTGTAGGAGGACCGTACTCAGCAGGGGAACCTTCTGTTGGAGGAACGTTTCTAGAGTCCTCTGTTAACAAGACATACCTGGAGTGAAGGGGGCTGCAGAGCTAGGTTGAGTATTCTTTACCAAAGTTAAAGCATTGAAATACACTTTTTTTCTTTGTTAGTATATTACATTTCGTCATAAACCATGGCAAGGGGATCAGCCATCCTTTAAAGTTCAGGATTTAGTCTGCATTGTAGACCCTACGTTTCTAAGCTAGAGAAAGTATATTTCAAGTCACTTTTGGTAATGGAGTTTAAATGTTTAATGTTAACTGCTACTTGGTCATTCCAGCTCCTCGATTTGAGATTTTTTTTCTTGACAGCCCTACTTAAAATAGAACACTTACAAAACACAGTCCCTGTCACTATTCTCTCTGAATTCCTCCACAGTTTTTTCCTGAGGTAAAAGTTGCCTTTCTAAAGTATACACTTAGTTTTTAGTATATTCTCAAAAGTTATGCAACCATCACCACTGTGAATTCTGGAACATATAACTCACCACCCCCAAAAAATTCCCTATCAATTAGCCGTCCTGTACCATTTCCCCAAGTCGCCCACCTTGAGCAACAATAGCTTTTATCTTTAGATTTCTCTTTCTGGACATTTCCCCTAAACAGGGCTATTCAACATGTCTTTTGACTGGCTTCTTTAACTTAGTATGTTTCTGAGATTGTAGCGTGCATCAGTGTTGTAGCATGCATCTGCACTTGGTTCCTTATGTTGCCAAACCGTTGCATGGATACACCACATTCAGTTCATCACTTGAACATTTGGGTTGTTTCTTTTTACCTTGTTATGAATAACACTTCTGTGAACTCTCATGTACAAGTTCTCATTATGTTCAATTCTTTTTCAGTATTTAGGGGTGAAATTGCTGGGTCATATAACTGAGTGATTGCCAGACTTTTGCTAAGTGGCTGTACCGTGTTAACATTCCCACTAGTGATATCCGAGGATTCAGATTTCTCCACATCCTCCTAATTACATAGTTACCTGACTTTAGTTCTAGTTGTCTTAGTTGGTGTGAACTGGTACCTGTGGTTTTGATTTACATTTCAAAATTTGCATTAGTAATGACTACTGATGCCAAGCATCTATGTGCATGTTGTCCATTTGTATATCTTTGGAGAAATGTCTATTCAAATCCTTTGCTAATGTTTTGAGTTTTTGTCTTCATTGTTGAATTGTAAGTTTTTTTAATATATTCTGGGTACTTGGTCCCTCATAATTTGCAAATATCTTCTCTCATCTTCATTTTCTTACGGTCTTAAAGCACAAAAGTTTTAAATTTTGAAACCCAGTGTACCTTATTTCTTTAGTTAGTTGTGCTTTGGGTGTGTCTAAGAAATGTGACCTAATCAGGGTTACAAAGATTTATGCCTATTCTAAGAGTTTTGTAGTTTTAGCTCTTTCATTTAGATCTTTAATCCCTTTTGAGTTAATTTTTGAGTATGGTGTGAGGTTGGGGTCTAACTTGGTGCTTTCACATGTGGATATCCAGTTAATCCAGCACCATTTGTTGGAATACTCTTCTGCTATTTGGCACACTAAGCATTTTACTTACCTGCTTCTACTAGAATGTGACATTGGTTTGGAGTAGAAACATGCAGGAAGGAATGTTGAGTTTGGAGTATAGGATAGGAATGGGGAAGAAGAGCCAGGCTGCTTGTGGTGACTGATGAAAGCATTGAGGTCAGGGTCTGCTCAGACATTCCTGGAGATGTTGCAGGTTCCGTTCCAGAGTACCACACATAATAAAGCAAATACTGCAATAAAGTGAGTCATGAATTTTTTGGTTTCCCAGTACATACAAAAGTGATGTTTATACTGCAGTCCATTAAGTATGCAATAGCATTGTGCCTTAAAAAAAAACAATTTGCATACCTTAGTTTAAAATTTGGCTATAGGGGATCCCTAGGTTGCTCAGCAGTTTAGCGCCTGCCTTTGGCCCAGAGCCTGGTCCTGGAGTCCCGGGATTGAGTCCTGCGTCGGGCTCCCTGCATGGATCCTGCTTCTCCCTCCTCCTGTTGTGTCTCTCTCTCTCTCTCTCTCTCTCTCTCTCTCTCTCTCTCTGCCTATCATAAATAAATAAATCTTCAAAAAAATAAAAAATAAAATTTGGCTATAAACTGCTAACCATCATTAGAGCTTCCAGCGAGTCATAATCTTTTTGCTGAGATGGTCTTTTTTTTTAATTTTTTTTTTATTCATTTATGATAGTCACAGAGAGAGAGAGAGAGGCAGAGACACAGGCAGAGGGAGAAGCAGGCTCCATGCACCGGGAGCCCGATGTGGGATTCGATCCCGGATCTCCAGGATCGCGCCCTGGGCCAAAGGCAGGCGCCAAACCGCTGCGCCACCCAGGGGATCCCCTGCTGAGATGGTCTTGCCTCTATGTTGATGGCTGCTCACCAGGATGGTTGCTGAAGGTTGGGGTAGCTGGGGCAATTCCTTAAGACCACAAAGTTTGCTGTATCTGTTGACTCTTCCTTTCACAGAAGATTTCTTTGTAGCATTGTGATGTTGTTTGATAGCAGTTTTTTAAAGATTTGTTTTTCTAGTGTGCATCAGTGTGTGGTGGCAATGATAGGAGGGGCAGAGGGATAGAATCTCAAGCAGACTCCCCTCTGGTGTGGAGTCCGACTGGAGACGTGATCTCATGACCGACCCTGAGATCATGACCTGAGTGGAAACAAGAGTCAGACACTTCACCAGCTGAGTCACCCAGGTGCCCCTCTGATAACATTTTACCTGCAGTAGAACTTCCAAAATGGGAGTCAGTCCTCTTAGCCCTGTCTCTGCTTATCAGCTCAGTTATAGGACATTCTCAGTTCTTTTTGCCATTTTTTTTTTTTTTAAGATTTTATTAGCAAGAGAGCGAGCACAGGAGCAGGGAGAGAACCAGACTCCCCACCGAGCAGGGAGCCTGACGCGGGGCTCAATCCCAGGACCTGGAGGTCTGACCTGAGCTGAAGGCAGACACTTAACCAACTGAACCATCCAGGTTCCCCTTTTATCATTTCAGTAATCTTCACAGCATCTTCATCCGAAGTTTCCATCTCAAGAAACCACTTTCTTTGTTCCTTAAGAAGCAAGTCCATCCATTCAAGTTTTATCATGAGATCACGGCAAGTCAGTCCCACTGCTCCACTTCTAGTTCTCCTGCTCCACCCCATCAGCAGTTACTTCTCCCACTGAAGTCTTGAACCCTTCCAAGTCATCCATTAGGGTTGAACTTCCAAACTCCTTGTCAATGTTGGTATTTTGACCTCTTCTCATGAATCACGAAATGTTCTTAATGACAGGTAGGATGGTGAATCCTGCCCAGAAGGTTTTCAACCTACGTCTCTCCAGTCCATCAGGGGAATCGCTGTCTATGGCAGCTAGAATCTTACACAATATAGTTCTTAATAAGACTTGGAAGGCAGAATCACTCTGATCCATGGGCTGCAGAGTGAATGTTGTTAGTAGGCATTAAAATATTTTGTCCATCTCCGTCAGAGCTCTTCAGTGACCAGGTACATTGTTGATGCACAGTAACATTTTGAAAGGAATCTCCTTTCTCTGAGTGGTAGGTCTCAACACTAATACTTAAAATATTTAGTAAGCCATGTTGTTAACAGATGTGCTGTCATCTAGGCTTCATTGTTCCATTTTTAAACCATAGGTAGAGTAGATTGCACAGAATTCTTCAGGGCCCTAGGATTTTGTAATGGTAAATGGGCACTGGCTTCAGCCTACAGTCACCAGCTGCCCTGGCACCTAATGAGAGTCTCCCTGTCCTTTGAAGTTGGAAGCCAGGCATTGACCTCTCTCTAGCTAAGAAAGTCCTAGATGGCATCTTCTTCCAACATAAGCTGTTTTGCCTACATTCAAAATGTGTTTAGTGGAGCCAATTTCATTATCTTAGCTCAATCTTCTGGATAATTTGTAGCTTCTACATCAATACTTGCTTCACCTTGCACTTTTTTTTTTTAAATATTTTGTTTATTCATGAGAGAGGCAGAGACATGGGCAGAGGGAGAAGCAGGCTCCATGCAGGGAGCCCGATGCAGGACTCGATCCCGGGACCCAGGATCATGCCCTGAGCCAAAGACAGACGCTCAACCACTGAGCCACCCAGGCGTCCCTCTCTTTGCACTTTTATGTTATGGAGATGGCTTCTTCCCTTAAACCCCATGAGCCCACCTCTGCTAGCTTCAAACTTTTCCTCTGCAGCTTCTTTACCTCTCCAAGATTTCACTAGATTGAAGAGTCAGGGCCCTGCTCTGGACTGGGCTTTGGCTTAAGGGAATGTTGTGGGCTGGTTTGATCTTATTCCCAGAACACTCAAACTTTCTCCATATTGGCAATAAGACTGTCTTGCTTCCTTATCATCTGTGTTGTTCACTGCAGTAGCACTTTTATTTTCCTTCAAGAACTTTGACTTTGCACTCACGTCGTGGCTAACTGGTGCAAGAGGCCTAACTTTTGGCCTATCTTGGCTTTTGACACACCTTCACTAAGCTTAATCGTTCCTAGCTTTTGATTTACAGTGAGAGACGAGTGACTCTTCTTTCACTTGAACACATAGGGTTCCTAAGTCCCCTAATTTCAGTATTGTATTTTAGGGAATAGGGAAATCCAAGGAGGAGAAAGATGAGGAAATGGTCATTCAATGGAACAACTATTTCCAGAACACACACATTTATCAATTAAGCTCATGTGGTAGGTGCACAGTTCATGGCCCCTCAAAACAATTATACGTGACACTGACCACAGATCACCATAACAAATATGACAACAATGAAAACATGTGAAATACTGCTAGAATTACCAAAATGTGACACAGAAGTATGAAGTGAGCAAATGCTGTT